CTTGTTTCTAACTTTTCTAGCCACAGGAGAAGGTGATAACAGCACCCATCTTTTTCGGATGAGCAAACTGGCTTCCTGAGAGACGCGTGTCTCTCGGGTAGATGCCGTTGGGCACTGGTGAACGCCAGGCTGTCTGGTTTCACATACAAAACCCCCTCAGAGCACTCCTGCCTTTGTTTCTTTTTTACCAGTACATTCCCTATGTTAACTGATAGAGGAAAATCAGGAGCCCTGGCTTAAAATTACCACTCTTTCCTAGTTTCTTAGTTTATAATAGATGAAATTATAGCCAGTTTTACTTTTTTTGTTGTTTTTGAGGTTCATAACTCTCAAGTTTTCATTGTTTGCTTTTTTATGATTTTGTTAGCGTCCATATCCCGAGAAAAGAATCTTCTTACGGTTATGAAATTGTACTACAGTTGTGAAAGGTCTCTAGAGAACGCACGGATAAGCATTTTCTTTTACAAGCTGTATCCTTACCGCCAACACGGGGGGGGGTCTTTTTTCTCCCAAATTCTGTTAAGCTTTTCAATTTTTTTCTGTTTTGTATTTTGTTTCTGAAGCAGGGTCTTACTATGACTCCCTGGTTCGCTATGTAGACTAGGCTAGACTTAAACTCATAGCGATCTGCCTTCCGAGTGCTGGGATTAGAAGCATGTTCCATCATGCCTGGTTAATTTCTTTTAAATGTAACGATATGTATTTCTGATGGTGGCATCATTTAAATAAGGGGAAGTCCCAGTTACTCTCTGTTGCTAATAAAGTCATTTAAAATGGAAAAAAGGAGGGAACAAGACCATAATTAAACAGTAATAATTCAGTAGACATTATGATCATTCCAGGTCTATTTGGATCTAAAGTGGAAAATACATAAGCAAAATTATTAAAAAAAATTCTTGCTTTATTTAGTCACAATGCCTCCCACTCAAGCAGAAAGTGTTATAAAGAATATTATACGTGAAATAGGACAAGAATGTGCAGCGCATGGAGAGATTGCTTCTGAAACAGTGGTTGCTTTTATGGTAAGAGTGATTAATTTTACAAATTACTGTTTTATCAAAAAATTTTAAATGTGATACCAAGTGTTTTTCTTTAAAATTCTTGGGAGCTTTCCTGGATGCTTTAGTTGGAAACATATTGAGATCATCAGATGAGTTAGTGAAAAATATCTTTTCCAAGTCTATAAAGTGTGTTGTAGATTGTCTGTGACTGATTTGGGAGATCCCGTGGAGCTTAGAAACCTTGATAATGTTCTAACATATGTTTTTATTCAAATATATACTGTAAAAGTTACTCCTTGCTTTAATTTCTGTGTTCTTGGTTTGGGTAACAACACACAATGAAAACATAAGATATACTATACTTTCCTGCTCCAAAACTGTAACCATTGCTTTCAGCCTCTTCAGTATGTAATTTTCTAGCTCATAATCAAGTTTGATGTTCGTTGTTTTCTATCCCCAGTCATTAATGAAAGTGCTAGTGAGTGGGGTGATGAGAAAACTGGGTGAATATCAAGGCAGTTCTCTAAAATGGAAATGAATTAATTTCATTATAAGAAATAAAAGTTACTTACCATGCTCTGTTTCTAGGTGAAAGCTGTTGTCCTGGATCCAAGCAATGGCTTTAATATGGATAGGACCCTCATCAAAAATGACGTGCAGAAGCTTGTTAAGGTGATCGACAGTTCTCATGCTTGGGATTATTTACTTTCAGTTTTGAATACAATATTTGTGTTATCCATCATTGTCTTCAGCAATGTTATAAAGAAACACAAAGTGGTGGTATAAATAAGTGAGAGATTATTTTCTAATAGAACCAAGTCTGGAGGTATATGGGTTGTTCCTGGCTTCCTTGGCCCTCATCTTTTGCTTTCCTCTATGTCACAGAGTAATTGTCATACCTCCTGATGGAAGAAGGGGAAAGACAAAGGGAATAATAGTTACAGTCAGATTTGTTGTCACTTTCTATCCACAAAATAAGTGTTTCTTTGAACTTTTACCATGTGGTTCTATTTACTGGTCAAATGACACAGAAGTGGCCCCAGGGCACATAAGGCAATCTTGTGGTTCTGTGTTAGTAGGAAGGTGGGGCCCAGGTGTCAGGGCTAACATTATCTGCTCAGTGCTCTGGTGAGACCCTGCTCTTTATCTTACATTGAGACTATCAACAAGTGCTCTATAATATACCTGTACTATGAAGTTAAGTAGTTCTACATTAAGATCCATATACTGGATTCCATGTAAGTATGTTAAAATCAAAGCAAAAAATGATCTTACCAAGCAAGTAAGTCTGCCTGAAAACAGACTTTTAGAACAAAAGAAGGTCAGGACTTCAGATATCTGTCATAGAGACTCCAATTTAGTTGCTTCCTCTGTATTTCCCAAAGATTCAACTTTGCTTTCTGCCCTGGCCTTCATGAATTTATTTCCTTTCTTTACACAAAGGACAAGACATGAACTTCCCCAAACCTGTGTATGGATATTTTATTGACTGGCAGAAATGGCAGGGGAACATTTCACTAGTCTCCACCTTCTCTCACTAACTGAAGGAGAGACTGTAGGTCTGTCTGCAGATGTGTAAAGGGTGAGGAAAGAGATTTGGAAACCTGGAGCTTAGGGAGGGGGTGTCTGATCAGAATGATGCTACAGAGACTCTGTGGGCCTACAGGACAGGCTAGAGCTGGCCTTGGTTGACTTTAGTGTGGTATAAATGATACTCTTATGAAAAGGGAAATGACTGTGGAGTCAATAGGGAAATGAGTGGGGTAGTCAGTCAGAAACTACAGGAAGTTACAAAGGAGATTCAGGGGATGACCTGGGAAGATGTTTGAGTTTTTTCTCCCTAACTCAGCTGAGTAGGAAAACCTCAAGTCTTTTAATGTGATATATGCACAACTTCTCGCAGTATATGGTAATCTTAACAACAGTAATTGTTTCCTGTCCTTCTCAATTAAAAGTCATTGGATAAAGCCTTTTGATTTGTCAAATCCCCTGTGAGATCACTCCCCCACCTCAGAATCTAGGTGCACAGACTGCTTAGTCTTGTCCTTTCCCTGCATACTCCTAGGAGAGCCTCAGGACTGGTGGGTTGGGAGATGGATGGAGAGTGGTGATGCTGCTGTGAGCCTTCCAGCAACAGTACACGAAGGCCAAGGTGTGTGAAGGGCAGAGAGTGGGTGACAGGAGGCCAGGGGAGAAGGAAGGAGATGCTCAGGGTGATCATCCAAGTCTAGAGAGGCAGAGGAGGGACATGCATCATTTATGGGTGTGGTGGCAGGGGGAGCAGAGGAAATTTACAAACAGAAGATAGATATGGAGAAATTTTGTGAGTTGCTGAGGGTAACTGAAGCAGTGTTTTATAAAATGTGACCTCCACCATCAATAATCAGTCCCACTAATAAACAGGATTTCTGGGAGACTTCTAGAATAGAGTACAAGCTTCATGGAATATATACTCAACGTTTCAACAACTTAAACTCACCAACACATCAGTCTTCTTGCTTTCAGTTAGACCTGGGAAAGAACTTACTATGTTGATTGAGTAAATTGAAAGCCCCCATGTTCTTAAGGAAGGAAAAATTGCAATAAAAGAGGTTGTTGCTTAAACATTAGGGCCACTGCTGTGATGTCTTTCTCTTTATTGTTCCTCTCCTCTCTCCCTTCCCTCAACCCTTTTTCTGTTTCTCTGTGTGTCTCTGTATCTCTCTGTCTGTCTGTCTGTGTCTCTCTCTCTCTCTCTCTCTCTCTCTGTCTCTCTCTCTCTCTCTCTCTCTCTCTCTCTCAGAGGTTTTCCTTTGTAGTTCTGGCTGGCCTGATGCTTCTGTAGATACTCCTGCTGCTGTTCCTGAGTGGTGAGATGGTGGCATTGCAGGAAAATACCATCATGCTCTGCTCATTTTCTTCTCTTTTTCAAAATAAGCTAGAAAAGTATACCTCGGTAGGTAGACTGCTTGCCTGGCATGCATAAAGCCCTGTGTTGGATATCCAGGCATTCACTGCCTAAAACCAGGTGTGCTAATAATTGGAGCAGTGGGGAAGGAGATGAGGGCAGGGGGATCATATGTTCAAGATTATCCTTGGCTACATAGTGAGTTTGAGAACTCAAAATTTGAAACTCAAACAAAGCACTTGAGTGTTTTAGAAAATCTAGTAGAAGCATTCATGTGATGTTCTCTTCTAGCTTTGTGTGGCTCGACTATTGGACAGTAAAAATCCATCTCTGGACACCATTAAGATGCAGGTCTACTTTGATATGAATTACACAACTCGAGGTAACACACATACCTATTTTCATACGTTTTAAAAGGGTTTTTAAAATATTGCATTTGATTGACAACAGATTTAATTGTTTAAGGAATTAATTTTTGTCGGTCTCTTGATATTTTCCATCTTTGATCTGTTAGGCATTCTTCATTATTATTAGTAAAATTCCTGCAACAATCAGTTTACACAAAGAAAAAGTTTGTTTGGGCCCAGTTTTAGCCATTTTAGTAAATTCTGTTGTAAATGGAGTTCTTAATTGGTCTAAATGATAAAATCTCAGAGTCAGATATAGAGGAAAATGCTGAGAGATCAGAGAGAAGGAGCAAGCCACCGCCACACCTTACCTCCTTAGCATCTCAGCAGACAAGAGAGCAAGTTCCTGTTTATGAGAGACAGGGATTCCCCAAAGGGCACACCTCTAGTGGCCCAGACATCCCCCATTGGATTCCTTCAAGGTCCCACTGTCTCCTAATAATAGAGTAGACTGGATACCAACCCTTTAATGACCTCTGAGAAACAATTCACCATATTTAAGAATATAATAGTGTTGGAAATTCAAATGAAAAATGCCAGTTTCCTTTATGAATGCTAAAAGTCAATTTGAAACTATATGTTCACAAAATTATGTTTCCAAGTTTATCATTTTTAAACTTCAAGACACTAATATATAACAATTAGAAACTAAACCGTTGAATCTCAAATTCTTAATTTTTGGATTTTCTCATTCTTGATTTATTATTTTATAATATTTAAATTATGTAGCTAATCCAAAGTAAAGTATATTATGGGAAATTTAGCTTTAGAACATATTTTATTATATTTACTATTTATATCTTATATTTATATTTAAAGGATACATCAAAGATATGTCGAAAATGGGGGAGGGGAGAAAGGAAAATAAACTATTTTTTTAAAGATTTTATTTATTTATTATGTATACAGTCTTGTGCCTGCATGCCAGCAGAGGGTACCAGATCTCATTCAAGGTGGTTGTGAGCCACCATGGGTTGCTGGGAACCGAACTCAGGACCTCTGGAAGAATAGCCAGTGCTCTTAACCGCTGAGCCATCTCTCCAGCCCCCAATAAACTATTTTTTAATGCAACCATTATTAACCATTTTGTGATTTTATTTTTCATCTTTCTGTGTAGTAGGCATTCAATTATGGTAATATGTAAAATAATATCTTACAGTTTTGCTTAATGACAATGGAATTTCAAAGCAAAACATAAGCGTGAAATTAGAGAAACTTAATTCCTGTTTGGTTTTTTTTTCCCAGTTTGTAAAAGTTCTCAGTTGCTTTTGTGGTAAAATTGTAGAGATGAATGTTGCATTGTTGAATTGTGGTTGGGAGAGCTTGCTTAGTTATGCGAATAGTCTCCAGCCACAGCATGACAGGTAGAAAAAAGAAGGATACATTCTTTATGCATTTGTTGGCAAGTTTGTTAGTTTGTTTTTGTCACCTTAGCATAAGCCGGGGTCATTGGAGAGAGGGAACCTCAATTGAGAAAATGACTGCATCATGTTGACCTGTAGGCAAATCCGGGTATTTTCTTGACCAATGATGAATGTGGGAGGGTCCTATGGTGGATAATACCACCCCTGGACAGAACAAGCAAGCAGGCTGAGCAAAGCCCTGGAAGCAAGCCAGTAAGCAGCACTCCCCCATGGCCTCTGCTTCAATTCCTGTCTCCAGGTTCCTGCCCCGACTTCCCTCAGTGATAGGCCGTGATGTGCAAGTGTAAGTCAAATAAACCCTTTCCTCCCCAAGTTGCTTTTGGTCATGGTGTTTATAGAGAAGTAGAATCCTTAAGACAATGCAATATTGTATTATCAATAATACTATTCCGAGGACATTTACCTAGAACTAAAATAAATATGATTGAAGAAGAATATATAGACTACATATTTGTATTGTACTACATATCTATGTGTGTTTACATTTAGGTTTTGACAGAATACTCCATTGAAATTGCTATAGTAATGTTTTCTACTAGATTTCTGTTTTTGGCTTCTTGCTGGCCACTCTTTTATTTCATCATTCCACCTTAAGAAGTCAGGGTTTTGTGATTTAGCTCTGTGGGACTTAGTTCTAGCACTGAAGCTAGGGTGATAGGGGCTTTTGTTTTCTTTTTTTTATCATATAGTTTTTTAAAATTTTTATTTAAATTCTTTAATTATTACTCATATTTACATATCCATCCCCCCATTCCCTCACCCTCCCATCCTCCAATGTTCCCCACCACCCCCCGCCAACCTGTCCCCAAACTCCTCCCCAGGGATAGTGAGGCCCTTCAAAGTCTGTCATATCTTTGGGGGAGGGCCTAGGCCCTCCTTGCTGTATCTGGGCTGCAATAACATCCCTCCATAGGGAATGGGCTCCAAAGTCCATTTGTGCTCTAGGGTTAAAGTCTGGCTCCACTGTTAGAGGTCCCATAGACTGTCTTGGCCTCCAAGTTGGCACCCACATTCAGAGGACTTGGTACGGTCCAATGCTGTTTCTGCAGCTTTATGACTAGGGTCTCTATGCTCTCACTAGGCCAGGTAAACTTTTTTTCGGGTTTCTGCAGCACCATCTTGGTGCTTCTTTGCTCATCCCTCCTCCAGAGTTCTCCGTAATTGGATTCCAGGGCTATGGTTCAGTGTTTAGATGTGGGTGCCTGTTTCTGCTTCGAACAGCTACTGGATGAAGGTTCTAGGAATGGTAACCAAGGTAGACATCAATCTCATTATAGGGGAAGGGCATCAATGGCATCCTCTCCACCACTGCCTGGATTCTTAGTTGGGGTCATCCCTGTGGATCCCCTAACATTTCCCCTGTGCCAGACCTCTCTCCAAACCTGTACTGTCTCTCTCTATCAAGGCATCTCCTTTCTTGCCCTCCTCTATTCCTCCCCTCTCTCAGGCCTCTTGTTCTCCTCTCCCCTCCCCTTCTTCCCTTCCCACCTCCTTGCTCTCCACCCACACCCCGTGATTCCAATTTGTTCAGGGGTTCTCATCCCCCCTCCCTTTCTTTGAGGTACTATGCAATCTTGGAGTCCTTGTTTCCTTCCTCCTCTGGCAGTGTGGATTGTAGACTGGTAATTCTTTGCTCTATGTCTAAAAATCAAAAATGAGTGAGTACATACCATGTTTATCTTTTTGTGACTGGGTTACCTCACTCAGGATGGTTTCTTCTAGTTCCATCCATTTGCCTGTGAATTTCAAGATTCCTTTTTTTTTTCTGCTGAGTAGTACTCCATTGTATAAATGTACCACATTTTTTCCATCCATTCTTCAGTTGAGGGGCTTCAGTTTAGTTACTTCCATGTTCTGGCTATTACAAATAATGCTGCTATGAACATAGTTGGACATATGTCCTTATTGTATGAATGTGCATTTTTGGGGGTATATGCCTAAGAGAGGAATTGCTGGATCTTGAGGTAGACTGATTCCCATTTTCCTGAGAAACCGCCATACTGATTTCCAAAGTGGTTGTACAAGTTTGCACTCCCACCAGCAATGGATGAGTGTTCCTTTTTCTCCTTGTCCTCTCCAGCATAGACTGTCATTGGTGTTATTGATTTCAGCCATTCTGACAGGAGTAAGATGGTATCTCTGAGTGGTTTTGAGCTGCATTTCCCTGATGACTAAGGATGTTGAGCACTAATTGCCACACACTAACCAGTTTTTGTCTAGTCCCTATCTGAGGAGAATTCTAAGTACTGAAGATGTGAAATACTGCTATTCACTAATTTTAGAGGACTTTCTTGAGGAACATCATCGGGTCTTGGAGTCCAGATTAAGTGCCTTTAGCAGAGAAATTACAGACAGCAGAGCGTGCACTAGAGAAGAACTGGAAAATCTGTACAGAAAGATCGTCAGCTATGTGTTACTGCGGTCTGGGCTTGGATCCCCCACGGACATCACGATCGTCAGAGAGGCAACAGGTAAAACACAGGAACGATTTCCATTCCATAAGTGAGCCCATATGCCCATTGTATTTATGTGCATCTGTTTGTGCCTTTGTGTGGGCAGGGGATGTGTGCACATGTGCCTGTATATGAAGGCCAGAGGTTGACACTATCTTCCTCCAACTGTATTTACTAAGGCAGGGTCTCTCACTGAACCCAGAACTCTCCATCCAGTTCTGGCCAGTCTAGCTAGCCAGCTTGCCCAAGGGGTCTCCAGGCTCCCTCTCTATAAGTCCGAGATTACAGATTGGGCTCCTGCACTGCCAAGTATTGGCTTATAGGGGTCCTGGGGATACAAACTCTGGTCATCACACTTGTGTAGCAAGGACCCACTGAACCATCTCCTTGGTCCCTGCCATTGTATTTTATAAAACATGTTAAAGACTGAAATTCCTTTTCATCTGAAAGAAAGCCAGCACCCATAAGAAGTTCAAACAAATCAGGTTCCTAGAAATATTTAAGTATATATGACTTGAAAGTAGAAGGGGGACTGTAAGGAGAGCAGAAAGAATCAAAGGGGAGAACAAGGAAGGGCAACAGGAGGACAGAATATTCCATGTTTTCTCTCATATATGGAATCAGTGTATGTATGACATGAATTCAGGAAGGACACTGTATGAGGGGAGCAGGAAGAGTGGAGAAGAGGGGGGCAGGGAAGGTAATGGAGGTATAAATATGACCAAAGGACCATCATGCAACCTGAAAATGTCATGATAAAACCCATTATTTTCTGTGCTAACTAAAAAAATAATAATTTGAAAAAGCAACTTAGGCTGGGCAGTGGTGGTGCATGCCTTTAATCCCAGCACTCGGGAAGTGGAGGCAGGTGAACCTCTGTGAGTTCAAGACCAGCCTGGTCTACAGAGTGAGTTCTAGGACAGCCAGGGCTACACAGGGGAAACCCTGTCTTGAAAAACAAAAGCAACAACCAATAAACAAACAACCTTATAGGCTGGAGAGATGGCTCAGGGTTTAAGAATGTTTGCTGCTCTTCCAGAGGACCTGAGTTCAATTCCCAACACCCATGTCAGGCAGCACACAGATCCAACACTCTTCTGTCCTCATGCGCTCATACAAAGACACCCACTTAACTTAAATCTCAAGTTAAGCGTCAGCTACCTTTGACACTGTGTTTCAGTTGGGAACTTGGAGTAGGGTTTCTAGCCAGTGAAAGTGTTCATTTTCCTTTTCCTAGAGGTGATGCATAACCAGTGACCTATTCTGCCTCACTCATGGAACATTAGCAGCATTGTTAAGGGCACTGGACTCATGTGGTGATTAAGACAGCTGGATAGGAATGACCCATATGGGTGGAAGGCATTGAGTCTTGAAAGGAGAAACCTTGTATTCTCAGGAAACGCTCATCCAGTTTATACTGCTGAATAATGAGGATGAAGCTAGGCCTAGTGAATCTGAATCTGTCTGTAATCCCCAGCACTTGGGAGGTGGGACACAGGAGAATCATGAGTTCAAGGACAGTCTGATACATGAGGCCTCGTCCCCCAGCAAAAACAAAAACAAGACATAATGCAGGACTAGGTAAGCTTTCCAGCTTTCCTATTACATTTTTCCATTATTATTTTAAAGTGTAGATTTTTCTACTCAGAGCCTTTTAATTAGAAAGATCGTTTTTTACCAGTTGATTAGTTAATAAGGACAGAGACATGAAGCAATAATATTGTTTTCAGCTGCCCGGCTCTGGTATTTGGTAGCTTTTGCTATGCATGCTTTAAACAGGTATCGTAAAGCATATAGGTAACACTAGAAAGGCACATCCCTTTACATCTAAGTTTTACATCTAAGTTTTACATCTAAGCTTTGCATCTAAGTTCTGACGTCTTTGTCCCATCCCTGTGTTTTTCTCATGATCTATTGCAGCTGCTCTGCAGAGTGTTTTTCCTCAGGCAGAGATGGGGACGTTTCTGACTCTTAATAAAAAGGACAAAGAACGCCAGCTGAAGGAGCTCACCATGATTGTTACTGGAATTCGGTTATTTAACAGAGACTGCGGGAAAGGAGGAGAAGGCATTGATGATTGTAAGTGTACCTTTAGGCTAGTCCTGAAGATTCTGTGTGTGAAAGGCTTAACCTCACAGAGGAGCAGACCACACACATCACACCACTGACACTCAGGAGGCAGAGGCAGGTGGATCTGTTCTGTTACACAGAGAAACTTTGTCTTGAGAAAACAACAACAATAACAACAACAAAATTGCAGTTCTATTCATTAGAAACACTTTCTCTTCATACTAGCCAGTAGTTCTTAACCTCCCAGAGACAGAACCTTAAGTTTTCTGTACCATGAAGCTAGTGTAGGGAATTGAGTCAGTGACTGGAATGAGGGAGCAGCCCAGATGCCATCCTCTTAACTCAGTGGAGGAAACCTCATTTAAAAGTTAAAATCACCTAGGAAAGAAAACTGGTGCTGGTGTAATTAATGGGATAAAAAGACCAAAGAGGAGATATTTGAAGGTCTACAAATTCAGGAGCAACTTCTGTGGAGTTATATACATAATGCTTAATTTTTTTTTTAAAGACAGATCTCACTGTATAGCCTTGAATAGCCTGGAACTTGCTATGCAGACCAGGCTTGCCTCCGGTTCATAGAAATCCACCTGCCTTAGCCTCCAAGAACTGGAATTGAAGACTTGCACCACCACACCCAGCCCCATAGTGCATCCTTTATTTGAAAGTTTGAAAATGCTTAGAAAATCTCTAATAAAGGATCTAAGGGCAGAAGTAATTTCATGTGAGTTTTAGACTTCTGCTGGCCCATTGATAAGGCATTACTGTCTTTTACCTAATCACTGATCTAACTAGCAATAGGAGAAGCCAACCAGCCACCTTCCTACATTTTGGGGCCTGGAAACCATTGAGTTTACACCCCAACCCAATGAGGGTTTTGTTGTTGTTTAGTTTTTAATTGTTGTTATAAAATCAAACTCCAGGGTTGGGGTGCTGGCTTAATGTTTGCTGCTCTTAGAGAGGACCAAGGTTTGGTTCTCAGCACCTACATAGTGGCTCCCAACCATCCCCTGAACTAGAGTTGTAGCTCCATTCCCATGGGATCTGGCACCCACTGCTGGTTTCCATGGGTTCTGCACACATATGCTGCACAGATACATGCAGACAAAATGCTCCTACATGTTAAATAAACATAAAACTGCAAAAATCAACTTCCCACCAGAGAGTGCCTTCCCTTGCTACTGCTTTGTTTATCTTGAGCCTAGATGAGGTGCATACCTACATTTTAAATTTGATTTGATTTTTCCAAAGGAGCATGGCTAATAGCACATGACACTACAATCTACCTACATTTTCTATATTTTAGTGAGAAAAGTGGATCTGATTGTACTTTCTCTTATTATTCTGACACTGGTTTTGTTTTGATAGTTTCTTTTCGGTATGGGGTGGGACCATGGAAAATGGTCCTTATAATTAAATATCCTGATAAGGAAAATCTGCCTCAACTTAATGTTTAAAATACAATTAAGTTCTGGTCTCTTTTTCCCTGATCCTTTTCCCACCCCCTCATGCCTGTACTCTCATTCTCTGACAAACAGTGCCAAGTATTCTCCATGAAGCAATCCCAACCACCACACAGCATATTGATGCCCAGCTTCAGATTGCCCAAGACCAGGCATTTAGCTACACAGCCATCCTTGAGAAAGTAACCAAGAACCCACTCTTGACCAAGGATCTCGAGCCGTATATGTTAAAGGAAGCATTGTATAATATTCGACAGTATGAGATCTTCCTTCAGACTGTTTTGGTGAGCTAATGTCACAGCTAATGTCTGGCATTTTCTGTATACTGCAGTCTCTTGAGGACCAGATGACTCATGAAGGTGGTAACCTTAGGAAGTTGCATTGCCTTCCTGTGATCAGGAATTGTAGAAGTTAGTTTATAGTTGTTGATTTTCTCTAGTACTTACTTGGTAGTATGATTAGTAACATGCTATAATTAAACAATGCTATGTGTATTTGCAACACTTTTAATTCAGAGCATCTGTTTTATACATTATTTGGCAGGGAGTGGCACTCACAATGTCATTGTTACTTGGTTGGGACCTGGTAGGGCTCAGCACATGATATTTATAGTAAAATTATAAAATATTAATACAAGTTATGTTATATTCACAGTCAGATATAATTACTTGTGCTCAAGAAGTGGAAATGATGATAAAACAATTAGCAGCTCAACTGGAACAGTTAAAATTAATAGTAAAATCAAAGACAGCTGTCCCAACATCACAAGTCTTTGTAAGTATTTGTCATCCTCTTTGACCTTGGTTTTTTGCAACAGGCTCTCAGTATGTAGTCCTAACTGATTTGGAACTTGCTATGTAGACCAGGATGGCCCCAAATTCACAAATATCCCCCTACTTCTGTCTCTGGGTGCTGGGATTACAGGCATGCACCACCACACTCAGTAACTTTGACTGACTTAAATGTATTTTTGTCTTATTTATTATGGTGAAGGGGCATGCCATACTGCATGTGTGGAGTTCAGAGAACACATTAACATTTGGTTCTCTACTTTCTTAGTGGGATCCTGGGACAGAACTTGGGTTGTCAGGCTTGTGAGTGCCCATGGAGCCATATCGCTAGTCCACTTTTTCTCCCCTGTGATCAAGCCCAGTGGTGTACAAACTAGGCAAGTGCTCTACTGCTGAGCTAATTCCCTAGGCTATGGGGCTTATTGTTGTTGTTTGTTTTTTGGTATTTTGTTTTTTGTGTCAGTACCTCATTATTTTGGCTCAGTGGATATCCTAAGTTGTCCTCTACTGTGGATCTCCTGTGCCCACATCCTTCATGCTGGAATACAGGCAGGCATGTGGCCACCATGGCAGGTATAATTTCTTCAGGCTGAACATCCTTTTGAGTATTAAGACTCAGTCCAGAATGCCTTATATTTATATTCCATTAGGATAATGTCATATACTGTGTAACAGTTTTATACAAGTTGATTCTGTTCTTTATGATTATGTCTTAGTAGTAGCCTGCTGCTTGCCTGATGAAGGCAGTTGCTACTGAAGGAAATGATAATCTCTAGTAGTGATTACTGTATCATTTATGGCAACAGAAGCAGTCCACTGAAATGTTGCAAGTGTGTTTACAGAGCTGAGAAGGTAGCTCAGTTGGTAAAAGGCTTGCCACACAACCACACAAGCACCTGAGTTCAGATCCCTAGCACCTATGTAAAAAGCCAGGTATGGTGCTGAGTAGACAGGGCCAGGAGGATAGTGAGAGATGCCAACTTAAGAAGTAGGACAAAGAGAGATTAAGGAACATACCCAACACCAACCTCTGACCTCTACACACTCCCACTCCCACACACAGGGTTGGGGGAGAAAGCAGAGAGAAGAGGGGGAAGGTGAGAGGGAGGGGGAGGCAATGAAAATGTGTTCATGGTAGTCTGTCAGAAACTGCACCTGGCACAGAGGTGATAGCTGACATCTTAGCTGAAAGGAAGGTAACCTTTTGGTTTACCAGGCACCGGCTTTCTGAGCAACAGAACCACTTTATAGAAAAACATTGCAACCTGATCTGAACAAGGAAACTGTAACATGTATATGCATTTCACATGGCTATACATTTGAAACTGGAAACTTTCTAAAGTCATTCTCAACATAGGTTTAAAAATAGAAACTTATGTGAGGCCTGATTGATTTTGTTTGTTCTGTAATTCCTTAATCTCGACTGTGAAGAAATGCTGTTATCTCGCTGATCCAAAGCTTTAGGTTGCAGTTCTCCCTGTGTGCATAAGATGTACATATGTGCTTTTCTGCATCTTTTGATGCATGACTGGACCAGAGAAATCAGCTATAATTTAGTGTGTAAACCAAAAATTTCAAGTATATTTTCCTTCTTAGCCTTTCGAGGTAAAGTGTTACTATTCCTTAAGGGAGCAAATATATTTGGTTACTCTCTGAGTAAATAACTTTATAACAGCTATGCCAAATGGAAACCTTTGAAAGAAGCCACAGGTTTCCCTCCGCCTGACTCAGGAGTTTACTCTAGTTTTGAAAGACTTTGGCTATAGCAGCATGAGTTTCTTTGCCACTCATATTTATTTTTAAGAATACAGGGTTGACTGTCACTCAATTACTTTTCAGTGTTTTTCTCTCTTTAGCCTATATTCATTGCGCTGGCAAGTCTGTGGATGAGCTTTCAGGATGAGACGGTGTTGATTAGTGTTCTCAGTAATTTGACCACTAACCTGGAGCTCTTCCTGGGCACTCATGAGCTTCTATTTCCGGAGAAAGTGATCCAAGATCTTCTTGACGATGTCATTGTGAAAAGTGACATGGTTAGAATCAAGGAGCACATGGGTAATACATACTAACCATTGTTTCTTTCTCCTTAAAGTTACCTTTAGCTCAAAGTCACTCTTTATGTCTTAAAAATCTTTATAGCTTTCCAATAAACACTAATCATCTTAATTATGAAAGGCTGGTATTCATTATAGAAAATACAGAAAAAGAACAGATGTGGTGACATACACATTTAGGTTTTAGCATGTAGATGGTAGATGAAGGAGAGTCAGGAGTTCAAGGCTAGCCAGGCTACAAAATAAATTCAAGGCCACCCTGGGCTATAGGAGACCCTGCCTCAAAAAAAAAAAAAGTGAAAAAATGCAGAAACTGAATACTTTACTGTCCAGAAATTAATTCTTATTGTAGTCCTTCATGTCTTGGCTTTGTGTGCTTGTGCATTTATATTTCAGTAGTACTGGTTTTGTAATTGTAATTGATACACTGAGAAAAATTCTTGCTATATTTATTGCAGATAAAGCTCCATTTTAGAGAATGTTATTTGCTACATATCTTCTTAGTATCAACTTGAGATTTATGAACCAATTCATTTTATCCTTATAAAATTAATTGAGCTAATTTTAGGCCCTTTAAAAGATGTATTTATTCTTATAGAAAGGTTGACATGATTAGTGAACTTTCTATCATTTCATCAACTTTTTGCCTTTTCTATCTTAGCTAAAAACAATCTAAAATTCATGAGAAATATCAAAGTAGGGTTTAACTTAATACTCAACTTTTTTTCAGAAAAATGAAATTATGTGATTCACTAACTTCTTTTTAAAATTCAATTTTGGTAAAAATAGAAAATAAGAATATAGCAGTGACTTAAATTATTTGAGTATAATAACTGAAAGCTGAACAGGATACACTAAAATCCTCTCCGTACAAGTCTTATTGCTTATGTGACTTCATTAACAACAGCATGTCTAAGCAGATATGAGGAAATGAAATTGAAAGAAGTTCAATTGTGGGTGTTCAATTAAGCTGCAACTTCTTAGATTTAGAGATGTTATTTCCTACCAGAGTCAGAACTTTTTCTTCATAAAGAGTATTTGATCAGGATATCCTTTAGTGAACTGAGAGAGCCAATATTCTTCTGAAAGAATTTAATTTATACCTGCTTATCATTCTGAGAGAATTTGGGCATATCAGGATAAACCATTTATTTTCTCCAAGTTAGGATTTACTTTTAGTTGTAGATACAAGGTCAAGACAAACAGGATGTTGGCTGTTTAGGTCTCGAATCAGACGTATTAGAAATATGGATGTAGTTTTTCATGAATGTATCACTTGTATCTATTTATTTGTGTTAGTTATCAATGTAAGCAAAGCAACTGGTGGGAGGAACTATCTTTAAAGTCAAAAGAACAGGCAGGAGAGATGTTCAGAGGTTAAGAGCACTAGGTGCTCTTGCAGAGGCCCCAAGTAATGGCTTGCATATGTAGTGCACATACATATATATGTAGGCACTCATATATAAATGCAACATAAAAATAACAGAAAAAATCTAAGGAACAAAAATTGTATACCCTTTAATCAAAGTCAAACTAGTAAAAGATGTCTTCTACAGTTTTGAGACATAGGCTAGTTACATAATCACTGTATTCAAAGTGTTGCCCATCTAGTGTTGTATCAAGACATAAGACATCTTGAATGAAGAACGTCTTTGTCTTGGTCACATAACTCTTTCTGCTCATCTCCTTGGGTGATGTAATGTGTGGCAGCAGGAAACACTGCATACCCTGACAGAAGTGCTTTGGTTTGCTTCCCCGCAGCTGCAAAGCAGGTTTTTCTGAAAGGTCTCTCAGTATTGTTCATTCTGGAGTGGAGTTCTATCCCACATTTGCCCTAGCAAGTTACTGACTCAGATTTGGACAGTCACTGAAGCATTCACATTTCTTTACATGAACACCACTCCAATAATTCTGACCACAGGAAATTTTGTCAATCAGAAAAAGTACAGATGATAAAAAGTTAATGTTTAGAATGATCTCCTACTGATTTATTTAGGAAATTGCATCTTCTCAAGGGATGAAAACCATTTCCTGTTCTCTTTCATTTTAGAAGAAAGAGTACATTTGCCAGATTTCAGAAAAATGGAATGGCTTTTTCCAGAAACAACAGCAAATTTTGATAAACTGTTAATTCAGTACCGTGGGTTTTGTGGCTACACGTTTGCTTCAACAGATGGTCTTCTTCTCCCAGGTATGTTGTTGGAGATAACAGTCTGCATTCGTGAATTCTGTTCCATACTAACTTCTTATTGCACCGACTTGGTTGTCCTATAAAAACTTGATGGGTTCAGATGGTGAACCAGGCAGGAGATGCAGAGATGGCCCTGATAGTGTCCTTACCCAAGGTGCTTCCAGTGTAACCTGGTAGATTGAACAAGAGCTTGTGAGGAGTAAGTGGGAGGTAATAGGTCTCTTATTTAAAATGCTTCAGGCCAAAAGGGTTTCTAACTGTTAATTTGGGTGAATGAGACATATTGAGGTGGGACCCAAGTTTAAATGCAAACCCAGTCATGTCTCATAGACATTTTATGCAAAGAATGCCAGAGGAGTACAGTACTTTGAGTGCACCCATATTTTTACTGTGACTTGTGGCATCATGAAGGAATTAAAATTGTTTTGGAGCATTTCACATTTCATAGTAAGAAAACTCAGTCAGTATTATATAATATGGACTCTGTTGTGCATTGAAAAGGGGATGACTCGTGTGTTCTGCAGGAGTGCAGAAACATGGGTTAGCAGTGCTTATAATGGTGTCTTTTAAAAAGTTAACTGAAGCCAGGCAGTGGTGGCACATGCCTTTAATCCCAGCACTTATGAGGCAGAGGCAGGAGGATCTCTGTGAGTTCAAAACCAGCCTGGTCTATTTAGAGCTAGTTCCAGGACAGGCTCCAAAGCTACACAGGTAAACTCTGTCTCAAAAAACAAAAAAAAAGTTAAGGAAAAAGACATGTTATGATAAATCTTTCCGCCAAAAGCTGTCCGAGCCCTATCGTAATGTGGATGGACAAAATAATACAGAGACATATTAGGTACAAAGCTGTTTGGCCAATGACTAGGATTTCTCATCTGTTAGCTCAGTCTTAATTATCATAAATCTATATATTTAATAAGACTTATCTTGTTGGATGCCTTATTGGCGTCCCTCCTTGCCGGTGGATCACATTGCACCGCTGGAGGAAGAGCCGAGGGGAAAAGGGGACACTTCCTGTTTCTCCTTGCTTATGAGTCTCCTTACTATGTCACTTCCTGCCTGGATCACCACTTCTCTACTACATTTCCCAGAATCCTCTTTGACTCCCAGTCCTGTCTAACTTGCTGTCTCATTGGCCAAACAGAAGTGTATTTAACAATAAGATAAACATACACAGTACATTCCCCATCAAAGACGTACTTATTTAACCAATGTGTTCATTTAAAATATTCTTGGTCACTTTGTAGCCACACTTCATTAACATATGTTAGGATTTCTCTGTTAGAGTCTTCTAAAGAAATACTTTATTAAGTAGCATTTCTATATATATCAATCATATGTCATAAAATTGTGTTTACAAAATAAATAGTAAATTTGGTAATAAGAGGCAATACATTATTATCTAAAAAGCGCTATGTAAAGTGGGAATGACAAGAAACTATAATTAGGTCTGGTTGTCAACATGGCATGTGGGAAGAGGCCATCAGGTTGGCTTCTGAACATGTCTAAGAGGCCTTTTCTTTTTGATTGCTAACTAATGTAGGAGAACCCAGCCAGTTGTAGACAGTGCCATCTCTAGGTTTGGTCTGTGTAAGGAAGGCAGCAGAGGAAGCCATGGAGAACGTGCCGATAAGCAGGGTTCCTCTATGGCACCTTGCTTCAGTTCCTGCTTCCAGTTTCTTGCTTGAGTTGCTACCTTGGCTTCCTTCAGTGATGGTCTATAAGCTTGTAAACTGAAATAAACCACTTCCTTCCCCAAGTTGGCTCTAGTCCATGTTTTATCATAGCAACAGAAAGTAAACTAGGATAGACAACAGTAAAAAGAGTTTGAAAGAACTACTTAATATTTACTTGGTACCATTAACCTCATCGTTCATGCTTTTTCTTTATCTCTGTATTAGTTTTCTATGTTTCATATTTGGGTATTGTTTTCTGTCAAAGAATAGTGGAATTCTGTGCTTGCATGGTAGAAAGAACAAAGAAGCTTGCTCCTTATGTTGTTATGAGGAACAAACACACTAGAAACATGGCAGTGAGGTAGTGAGAGTCTACCTGCTGTGTTAGTAATAAAGAGACATGGGAATGTAGAGGGATGTCAGGCTCTGCTTCAGAGTTCTCCCTGAATAAATCAGTTCTGGTCCTTTCGCCTCTGTTTACTGTGTGATTCTACATCCTGCATCTTTGCCTAGGCATCAGCAATTGTTCGCTCAGAGGGACTTTGTAGAATGTCTTCAACTATTGAGAATGTAGATCATGTGGCTTACACCCAAAGTAACACTGGCTTACCATACTCTCACATTTGTCCTTTCCAGATGACTTCATGTCTACCAGAAAAAACTCTACCGCAACCCATGCTCTATTGTTTCATTTTACTAAGCCTTCCCTAATTGCCAATTTTTATTCAAATACCATTCTCATACTCCTTTGTTTTATTATGCATTTAATTTGCTTGCTTCCTTTATTTTTCAGTTAGTTATTTCCATAACCCTGACCACTCTTTGAATTTGATATGTTTGTGATCCGTTCAGAGTAGGTATTTGTCTTTCTACTCTATCCTCCATACCAAGAATAGGGTCAATAACTATTTATTGGAAAAATGAATAAGAGAGTATTACCATTTCCTATGTAATTTCCACAAGACATTTGGATATTTCATAATCCAGTGTTTTTATAGTTGAAAATATGCAAATCTGCACTGAGGAAAAGATGTCATACTTTTGTAGTTCTTACAGAGTTATTTTGAAAATGCTATATTAATGTGGGAAATTACCAATATGGAGCCAGGTAGAAATACAAGGGATTTAAGATCCGCCTGCCTCTGCCTCCCGAGGGATGGGATTAAAGGCATGCGCCACCAATGCCTGGCTACAAGGGATTTTAGTAGGGAAAAAGCCTTACTTACAGAGTGACCTAGCCAGCAAGAGGGCAGCAATCTGTACAGCAAGCCGAAAGTGAAACGAAACTGAACCAGCCACCTGAATGCCCCTCACTCTACGTCACCCTGACCATGCCCTCAGAGGCATGTAGCATGCCCCTAAGCAGGCATGGCTACAGCATCCCCTACAATTCCCCTTTTAGTCTAAAAGAGGATTAAAACTTAACAGTGTAAAGTATCCAAAATTAACAGTCATAAAGGTGAAATATAAGAAGATACAACAATCTGCTTATGTCACATCCTTACTATCTATTTTAACTAAACCCTAAAGTCATCTGAAAGAGGTGTCCAAGCCTGAACACCTCCTTCCAATCCCAACCATAAACAATAGGAAGCTATCCCTAACTAGGTATATACACTATCCTAAATGACAACAATGGGGGAAAGTGGGCATGGCATCCTCCAAGTTACTTCCTGCTGAAATGGGACGACAACAGCCTTGTGTGGTCCTGTAGGAAGAAAATGTTAGTGTAGTGAAAGCCTTGAATGGATTTTGGAAGGAGGTGTTCAGGCTTGGGCACCTCTTTCACTATATTAGGGGCTGTGGATGTGGCTTAGTGGGTGAGAAGCACTGGGGGCTGTGGATGTGGTCTAGTGGGTAATAAGTCCTGGGACTATGGATGTAGCTAGTATGTAAGCTGAGCAACTATGGAGGACCTAAGTTCAGACACCTAGAACCCACATTAAAATGCTGTGTTTGACTGTGCCCACTCCTATAACCGCAGCACAGGGCCAGCCAGGGCACAGAAACAGGAGGACAGCTGGGGCGTGTAGACTGCCAGCCTAACTCCAGATTTAGTGAGAGAACTTGGCTCAAAGGAATTAGGTGGAGAATGATAGAGAAAGGCACCAGATGTTTACCTCCTCTTCCTCCTCCTCTTCTTTGGAGATAGGGTCTATTCAGTCCTGGCTGTCCTGGAACTCACTATATAGATCCTCCTGCCTTGCCTCCTAAGTGCTAAGATTAAAGGTGTGCACCACCATGCTCAGCCAAATGTCTTCTTCTTGTCTCCACTAGCCCTGTGCACATCTCCATATACATATGCACAGATACCACACACACACCATGTAGAGGATGCTGTAGCCATGCCTGCTTAGGGGCTGGCTACAGGTGTGCCTGACCATGCCTATAGCCTTCATCCAGCAGCTGGTGGAAGTAGAAGCAGACACCCACAACTAATCACCGAACTGAACTGGAACCCAGATGCAGAGAAGGACGAGTGAAGAGCAAAGTGGTCCAGACCCGGCTGATTAAACCCACAGAAACAGCTGACCTGAAGATCGGGGAACTCTTGCTCCCCAGACTGATAGCTGGAATACCAACATGGGACTGATCCAGACCCCAGGAACATGGGTTTCAATGAGGAAACCTCAGAAATCTACGGGACCTGTAGAAGTTCAGAACTTATCCCTAGCATAGGTGTGGACTTTGGGAGCCCATTCCAGATAGAGTAATACTCCTGAACCAACACACGGGGGTGGGCCTAGGCCCTATCCCAAAGGATACAATAGACTCTGATGACACCCTATGGAAAGCCTCACCATCCAGGGGAGCAGAAATGATATGTGATAGGGTTGGGGGGGTTGGTAGGGGAGGACGGAAGGGAGAAGGGAACTAGGATTATCTTGTAAAACAATGCAGTTTCTAATTCAAATTAAAAAAAGTTGAAAAATAAACTTATAATGGCTCCCTCTATTATAGTATCTATTTCTTGCTCTCCTCTATTCTTCCCCTGACTCGATCTTCCTGCTCCCTCATGTCCTCCTCTCTCCTCCTCTTCTCCCCGTCTCTTTCTTCTAACTACCTCTCCCCTCCCACCATGCTCCCTATTAGCTCAGGAGATCTTGTCCCTTTCCCCTTCTCCGGGGGACCACGTATGTTTCTCTTAGGGTCCTCCTTGTTTCCTAGCTTCTCTGGCAGTGTGGATTTAGACTGCTCTAGGTCTAAAATCCATATATGAGTGAGTACATACCATGTTTATCTTTTTGTG